TATAAAATACAAAATATGTTTTGTATTTCAAAAGGAACACAGACTGTTATTCTTGCTTTGTTTTGTAAGTAAAAAGCCAGCAGGCGAATAGGAGAAAGTATGTTTTTACTCTTTTTTATTAGTCATTTAAACCTATAGATTGATAGATAGAAAAATGACAAAGCTTCTAAATTGATGAACTCAATGATGTGCGTTATAGTGGTTGTTACAGTATGCCCATTTACCGTAGTTCCTTTTATAATATTCTCCACAAGGAAACAACCTTTGATTTTAAACATTTGGCTCAACATTGTACGAATCACAATTGATTAGGCTATTATTGAACATACAACTCTGTGAATGTATGAAAAGTGAAAGATAAGTCCGAGGCGCTGCCAAAGACAGCACAGAAAATCACCCCAAAGTACAATGAGCTTTTATGTTGTGGGATGCCAAACATGTTAACATGAACTGTTGTTTTTGGCTTCGGATCCTAAAGAAAAGAGCCAGAAGGCAACATTCAAGAGAGCAGTGCCAGCCTTTAACAGATCACAACTGATTGTTTGAGAAACTTATTACAGTAGGCTCATTTTCTTTCAACTCTGACATCATGAGGATAACATCTTCCACCAGGACACAACCCTTTTTCCTATATCCCTGGATGTGTTCACCTTTTTAATTAGAAACATATAAGGCTGTAATGTTCTTAATATGGAATCAACTGGTTTTCAAGCAATTGTAACAACACTGTGAGGCAAAACATCGGCGTGTACGAAAAATACTTACATGTTCACCATCTTAACATGTAAGCACATTAATATTATATAATGGATTCTTCCTACACCAATGCTACACCTTACACACAGTTTCCTAAAAATCCAGCCTGAAGTTTTTCTGTTACCTTGCTCAAAAAACATCAGACAAATCAATAAGATAAGCTTCTTGGTGGAGTTGATGCATTCTACAACCAAAATACAGCTGAGGCTGAATGCCTGAATGAAATGTATATGCAGTTATTTGGCCATAAATCTCAAAATTGGTTAAAAAATGTTGCCCTGTCCTTAGAGGAAATCTTTCTCACATAATAATAAGAAAAGTCATTATATATTTGTTAAGATATTTCAGTATGGAGTAATCCTCATAGTTTCAAAACAGTCCTGACATAGAATCTTCTTTATTCAGCTGCGATGGATTGAGTTGTGAGTTTAGAAGACTTCTCGGTTGATGCCAGGAGTTTAATGCCCCACAGAGCGCCACGTATTACATCACCTGAAGTCATATTTGAACCATGTGTGGTGGCTCAGTTAGTGATCAGAGTGAATTTAACTTGTACGGCAATGGGACTTTGTCTTTGCAAAGATATTCTTGGCTTTGTCTCCATTCAATGTTTTAAACAGCAGTCAATCACAGCAAAGGGGAGAATTGTCAAAGTCCTACTGTGTGCTATGCTTGTTGAAGCAATCATGTAAAATATATTTTTCATGTGACACATTCTTGGGGTCTGTAAACTGAATGTGATTTCCTTACAGGGCGATTTGGGCGAAGATGGAACGAAAGGTGATATAGGGGAGAAGGTATGTCATTTACCTTTGTATTCTTTCTGTTTATTTGTTGGAACCTACCTAAAGCCTGGCTGAAAAAATTATTGAAGATTAAAGTTAGCCATCTGAGAGGAGAAGAAGCAAAGTCAGGTGCCACGGGGCTGTAGCCGTGGCAACACAGCCATCATCCCAGCACTTAATGCCTCCTTTGCGCTTAATGTGAACTTAATTGCTATGCTTTGCTGACGCTACTTTTTCTGGTCGGGCGGCTCCTGCATTAATTTGGGAGCATTTATCATCGAGACAGCTTGTCAAGCTTGGATCCATTTTCCAACAAGAGGCAGAGCTCAAGTAATAGATTCATGTTTCTGTCCAAAAAGCTTTTGTTTTGAGGAAAGGTTTTGTTTATTGTAAGACATGGTGTCCAGGAGCAGAATATGAATCCTATCAGGGTCTTGGAAGCTGCCTTTGCTGTCATTATTTTTGCTAAAATAGGTCACAGCCATATTTGTATTTGGCAACCTCAAAACACAATAGTGGCCTCTTTACCCTTCAAACTCATTTTAAAGCAATTCAGAAAGCAAACTTATGGATTGGAATAGACAAGCCTTGAAAATATGGATACAGCCCATGATTGCTCGTACTTCTGGGAAAAGATTATTCCCACATTTGCCAAAAAAACGATAACACAATTGCTTAGAACCGACAGCAGACACAAAACACTGAGCTTCCTTTATCAGGCTTTTTGTTAGAAACACTGAGTTAGGTATAAAAACAAAACACAACTGAAAGACCAGCATCGCGGCAGAAGCAGTGTACTCAAAACGTCAGTGCCAATTTATTGCTGTTCAGCTGAGAACAACTTTTGATAACTTCTCACTTTATGGGTGCTTGGCTTTTAAGACTGCTGCCAAAAAAGACACCATTTGAGGGAAACAGATGCAGGATATCATGTGTGGAAAATGAGTGAACAAAAAGGAAAAAGGAGGGAGATAAAACTTTGCAGCTTGAGCAACGCTTTGATCTGGTCTACCTCAACGCAGTAAAAAGCTGGAAAAAAACGGAATCTCGCTGCAGGAGAGCAAAGAAAAAGTGGAATAGAGTAACATGGGAATTCAGACTTCTGTAGCCAGTCACCTGCCATTCATTCTTCAAGAGCATAGTCTTGTATTGTGCAATAACAAGAGACAGAAGGAAGTGTAAAGACCTGGAAATGCTCGGGATTGTAATAGATAGGTTTTGCTGATCTTCTTAGAGTGATGACTTCAGGTTGTAAAATAGTATATGTTAGGAATCATTGTTTTTCAATCAAGATGTAACCGATTAGATGAGTTTAACATATGTCGGATACAACAAAGATGGAGCCTCCTGTCATCAGCGTTTTTGACATGATCTTCCCTGATATTATTGCTATGCTAAGGGAAGAGGAAACCAGAGTAGAGAAGACGGAGGAGAGGAGGAGAGCATCTTTCGTCTTCTATAGTGAAGATGCCAAAGTTAACAATGCACAGCACGCACTGCGGGGAAATTGTGGTAACACGGGGTGAGAGGTGAGGCGGTGAAAGCTCTGGTATGGTGTGCAGAGAGACCTCAGGGAGGGGGGAGAGAAATGGGAGTGCAAGGCAGCCAGACAGGCTTTCCACCAGACAAAGGGAGATTGTTTTGACGGCGGAAGATCTGCGGAGTGTGAAAGACACTAAACGACAGGACATGCACGCTCACTCCCAGAAAGCAGCTTAAATCTTTCTCCCTCACATCCTAAAAGACACAATCTTTTACGCTCTGGATCATCAAACCAGGAAGTGTTGTGCTTTAAAGGAGAGTTTATTTGGAGTCGAGGAGGTAGAAGAACAAGAAGAATGTACTTTAGTAAGGAAAGAATTGCACTTAAAAATACTCATTATGCAATATATTATTGTATTAAATAACACATTTTACTCAGATCCTTAACTTAACTAGTTCGGCAGTGTAAGTCTCTCTCTTACAACTTAAAGTCTGTATTTAAAAGAAATATTAAAAGAATACACATTATTAGAAGAAAGTACTAAAGCCTCAAACTCAAAATGACTAAGCATTATATGATTGTATTATGTAACTGCTTTTATCCTGATACGTATGCCCTTTAATTATTGCAAACTGTTTAAGCGTCTAGCATTTTGAGAAGGTCATTTATTTGCCTTCATGGCGAGCGATAGATGAGAAGATGGATGCTACTAGCTAGAGCGAGCAGAAAGTTAGCTTAGCTTAGCATAAAGATAGGAAACAGAAAAAAACGTCTTGGCTAATTCTGTCCCAGAAATGAACAAAATCCACCCTGCCAACACCTCTAAAGCTCATTTAGTTAGCCAATAGTTCACCGTTTTATGGGTGCTTACGTTCTTATTATACATCCATGGTGCTTAGGCCTACTTGCCAAACGATTTATTGGCCAAAACCAGTAACTTCCTGGAATCTCCACTGGTTGCCCGGCTCACGCCAACAAAAAGTCAGGAACATAAACCTCCCAAAAAATAGCAATAGTTTAGTGTGGGTTGAACTAAGATATCACATGTTCATTATTGAGCTATAGAGATACCAAAGTCTTGCAATGATACAATATTTGTATGGAGGGGACCTTTTTTGAAAATAGTTAGCAATAATGTTCACTTATAATGTGCTCACATGGTGCATCTTGATAAATAAAGATTTGTTTCATGGAAAACAAGTCCAGATTTATGAGGGGCTCAACAGCAAGGTTTTTTAACATATAATAAATTAATAATGCTTCATTTTGGGATATTGTTTATTTGTATGCACAATCTAGACTAAGTGTCGTTGAGAGTATAGTATTTAACTAGGTGTGAAATTAACTTTGACTCTTCTAGTTAAAAAGAGACATTTCTTTAAAGGTTTGTAGAAAAACAAACCAAAGTAAACTCCTGGGAACTGTCAGGCCGGGGTCTTGGCTCTGCTGATGTGGCCCGGCGGGGGGTATCATTTCTGATTCCTGAGATCCGGTCCAAGCTCTTGTGAACTGGCTGGAATTCAGCGATTGGCAAGCGCCTTTCTGCCCCGGGAGCCAATCATAATCTGTACTGCCTTGCATAATTAGATATACGAGGCTGAATATTAGGCTGAGGTCACTGAATATGGTCATCTTTAGCAATGAAGTGAAGTAGGAATCTTGTTTTATAGGGCTGCGGTGACATTTAATAATTACATTTGTCACGACTTCATTGCTCACAGATTAATTCACTCACGTTTTATTTGCTCTCATGAGGCAAACAGCTGGAAAATGGCTTGTATAAATATGAGATCTTCATGCTGGTATTACTGTATCTTCAGGTGGCAGATATATGCAGCAAAAGCTCTGGGCGCTTATAATGAAGCTGTGGTGACATTCACTCACTGGTTAGATCTCAGGCTGGAGCCTAGCTGTAATAATTGGCCAAACTTTGACATTTCAGCACTCTGTGCCACACCTCAGCTCACCTCCCAACTCCATCACTTTTTCCATCTCATGGTATTTCATCTAGAAGAGATTAAAACTTGCACGTGATTCGCTGGGGCTACGCAGCAGGGAAGTAAAGTGTTAACTGTAGCATCCTCTGATTTTCACATGGGGGCTTTTTGATTAAAAGTGTGTAAATTGCTCTGTAAATATTTATTTTCCACATTGTTACCTCCTTATGGTTTCACCCTGCTGAGATTAATAATGGGAAAAAAAGTAAATTGTGCTTACATATAGTCCCCAGCTTCATTATGAGGTGAGATCTTTTGTAGTTTGTATGAGATGTAATGATTAAGCGCAGATGTGAGGCATTCTTACATATCCATCCCAGCCAAAAAAGCAACAGGTGTAAACTGTCTCTGACTTTGATGTGTGTTTTGTTGAAACAATTAGATGCAAACAAAGTCAGAATAATGGGCCTCTGTGTAAAGTTTACCGCATCATGACATCTATGTAGAATTTACTCAAAAAAAGCAGTTGAAAGCCTTTAATTGATCCTGGATAATGTAACGTGATGAGGCTGTTTACAAGCAAACTGTAAAAGTTCATTAGATCCTTTGTAACTTCAATAAAAATATATAGGAAAATGCCCATATAAAACAGAAATGATATGTTTTTAAGGTATGGATAGAGGCATGCAACAAAAGCCCAGCTGTAAACAGTAACGCAGTTTATTGTCTTCAAAAGAAAAATGCCGCAATTAAACATGCCTTGTGTGCTATGCATGGTAATGACTCCCATAAAAAGCTGAGGGCGAGAGGCATTCCTGCAGCAACTTCTGAGCGCAAGGCGTATGTGCAGTGAAACCACACCAGAGCTGCAAACCCAGCC